AATCTTTGTAAAAATAAGAAAAGTAAAGTCATATACGTGAAACACGGTCCACCTTAAAATGTAACATATTGTATATATGTTTTAACGGTGTAGGTATTTTCTACCGCAGGATATCAGGAGTCTAGTGTGGTGTGCACTTTTTCATTTAGCTTGATCTGTGCTTTTTAAGAGCAATTAAATATTCTCAGGATAAACACCTCACGTGTGATGTTTCATTCAAGCACGGTTTACGACTCAGCAGGTATTCAAAGAATGCTTGTCATGGTGACATGGACGTTTTTGGAAAGTCTTTTCACATCTGTACTTGACTTAAACTTTTTAAATGAACCGGAACGTTATGGGGGTTGGTGCCTACAAAAGTCATAAAATATCTCTTCAAAGACCAGCATACAAAGCGGGTACATCACATATTGTAACTTTCTACATATATTTTTCAGTAGATAACCAATAGTATATTGATAGTATATGATATTTATCATGCTGATAAAGGTCGGTTCAGAAAAATACGATCATATACAACTATATAAGTGTAGAACTAGATCATAGCTACATGCTCACCCTAGTAATAATCTAAGATATGGACAGTTTTTTATTTAGCCTTTTAAGCTGGAATATGCTTTGAAATAAGATAAATAAAATAAATATTTCTTTCCATGGCATAAACACCCCGCGCGATAATGATTTAAAATATGTGAAATAATTTATAAATATATGTAATTGTATGGCAAAGCATGTTTGAAATGTTATGTTTCTAAGGTGATGGTGGATAACGTGGATAACGTAGAATGTCAACCGTTAGTTCGAATAATTAACATAATTTAATTAAATTACACAGGTGTGTTAGGTTTAGAATATACGGTCTGTACAGTATAAAAACCATTTCGCCTATGGAGAGTCCCCATAAAACATGTAAACACAACATGTGTGTGTGTGTGTGTGTGTGTGTGTGTGTGTGTGTGTGTGTGTGTGTGAGAGATGGTATTAAAACTTTGAAAATTATGCTTAAAATAAGAAAACTTTAAAGAACCTAAAGTGTTTGATGCATAATAAATCTAATAAAAATTATGATTTTGTTGAAATTCACCAGACATCAGATGTAGTAGGGATACTGCTTATTTAAACTTTACATTAATGTTATGCTTTGAAATAGATGTAGCCCATTTACTTAGATCATGCGATCTGGAACTCCTCCCTCACTGTGAGGGGGCTGAAGCAGTCCATCAGTTTCACATATAGGAGAATACCCCTAGAGGACCTGTGAGATTTTGTTTCAAATTAAACTAAATGTATTTTTGTAAATTACTCATTCATATTTGGACATCTTAGCACTCTAAAAAATGTAAGGTATAATTTTTCATATTTATTGCAACCTAAAACTATTAAATGTTTATATTATACAGCGTTTTATATATAATCACTGGATACGTTTTGACATTTGTGTTTTTCAGTATCTTAAAAAATACATTAATGACTAAAGTCTGATTGTACTGTATTCAACACGAGCTGAGCTATAATAATATGTGAGCAGCGTGAATGTACATGTTTGCGAAAACAACGTTTATGCGTAGTTAGTGAAAAACTAACATTTTCGTTTAAAATGTGTTTTATAAGTTCAATAAACTTGAATACTTGATTAAATGTATGATCTGCTTCAGTAAAATGTTACTATGCTGTCATATATTTTATTACCATATTATTTCAAATAGGTGTACAGTGTGTGTGTGTGTGTGTGTGTGTGTGTGTGTGTGTGTGTGTGTGTGTGTTTGTTTGTGTGTGTGTGTCCG